TGTGTGTGTGTGTGTGTGTGTGTGTGTGTGTGTGTGTGTGTGTGTGTACAGTTACTGCTAAGTGAGTCAAGACCACCAGTAAACATGGCTGCTATAACCACCGTCACACAGGGAGACGTCATCTCATCACCACAGGGACAGAAATACAACCCCTCGTCCTCAAGTCCCTCCCACTTTTCAAACAAATGCGTCTTCAATCCACATAAAACACCTTAAAAGAAACGTATCCATACTTGATATTGAATACACATGACCACACAGACCTGCAAGGTGTTGCACAAAGAAGCATGTGTGAAGTATTTTCTTCGCAAAATGACATCATTGTGAAATTAGGATTCTCTTGTTACAATTACCATAAACAAATAATACCATGGTCAAGATAACTCCTAGCTTCTGTTGTAAGTTATTTTAACTTATGATTATTTTAATTATCAATTAATCCATTGATTAATCCAAAAACAGCTTATCCTATATCCGACAATTATGCTTCATAGAGACATCTTCAATTAGCTTGTTTTGTTGAAATAAAAGTATAGAAATTAAACATATTCAATTCACAACAATACTTTGACTAAATGATGTTTAGTGTTTTGACTTTATAAATGACTTAAACAACCAATTATCAAAATGTTTTATGATTCATTATCTGTCGGTCGACTAATTAATTTATTAACTAATCTTTTTAGCACTGCTTCCCCATAAACCCTGTTGGTTTCACAGTTTGGATGTTACAGTATCTTTGACTTATTCACTTTTATTTGACTCTTTCAACACTTTTTACTGAATGCAAACTGTGTGGCAGAACGGCTGCTCTTTGCTTTGTCATCCTCAGCACAATCATGATGCCATCATCCAACATCAAAACAACCATTACTAGTGTGTGTGCAGTTGTGTATCTGTCTGTTGTCATGTGTGTGTGTGCCTCCAGGGAGTATATGAGTCTCCAGTGTGTGTGTGTGTGTGTGTGTGTGTGTGTGTGTGTGTGTGTGTGTGATAAGCCCTCTTAATGACTCCTAAAGCCTCTCCTGAGTTGGCTGTATTTAGGCTGAACCAAGCTCATCTCTTTCCACACACACACACCTCTCAGGGCTTCTCCTCTTAAGTAGCCTTTGTGCTTCTGGTATGATGAGGGTTAAGGGGTTAGAGTTGTGGTAACAGTGCAGAGGTTAAGGGTTAGAGATTAGGGGTTAAGGGCTTTAACGGTACAAACAAAAGATGCTGATTTGACTCATTCACTCGTACCATTCAAACAGATGCATACTGACTATTTTGATGAAATAACAGCTGAAGGAGCTAAACTGGACTTTGATGTATGAAGATGAGGACGCATTCCCCTTATAAGCTCTGTGAAGATGCTGCATGAAGCAGCTTAAAGAATTCACCGTCACTACAACAGCCGAGGATTTTTACTGAAGTCTCACTTAAAAATAAGATCAAGGCTGGGACGTTCTGTTGTGAAAGAAATGTGTTAGGCATGGAGAAAGGTATAATTGGTTCATTGTCATGGTTTGGTATTTTGAGAGGCTTCAGAGTCCATCCCACTTGGCATGCCTTATGTGAGGAGGCTCTGAGTGTCTCGAGGTTAAGATAAGATGAGGACCTTGGTGATGTTCCCGAGTCACGTGGTAAACAGTCTGAACAAAGGGTTATACATTGTTTTGCCTCCATTGTGATTTTAAGTGATTCTGTATTATGTGGGATTTACTATATAAAGCTGAACAAATGTAATGTCACATTAAGTTTTTTAAATAAGTGCCGGTCGGACGGTACAGTTAAAAGCTTCTTGCTGACTGTATGACAGGGAGGGCTGCCTCTCACAATTTTAGAAAAAAACAAAAAAAACAAACAAACATCTTCTTTCTACAGAGACTGGCCATTGAGAATATGTGTGAAAATGGTCAGAGCTCCGAGTTCTCTACCAATGATGTTTGCCTCATTCCTCTCATACTCTCCCCCTCGTCCACTGCTACAGCTGCTTACTATTGCCTCGGTTGTCCAGCTGTTGGCAGCGGTGACGAGGTGGTTCGTTTTCAGAGAGGAGACATCAGGAGTGCAACCGTAATCAGGATCAAATTCTGAACAAAAACCACATCAATTTTACTCTAACTTTGAAAACGCTTGAACATGAATTCTGTCTGTGAAATTGTTATTGGACATAATCTTTGAATAAATACAATTGTATTTCCTGCCCATGCGAGTATGCCTTTAAAACCCTCGGCTTAACAATAATCTGTTAAAAAGGGATAATGCTGGGACCGCTGCCTAACAAGTCTCCTCGGATAAGGAAGAAGAAGAAAGCAGAAGAGCATGAAAGTAATGTTTAAATCTCTGATGAATATATTAGGAACACGTCTGTGGGGAGGGAAGGATGGAAAGAGGAATAGAGCAGAAACACAGGCCGTCATGGTATCACTACAGAGAAACACCTTCCTCCTCTGCCCACCTGAAGACATTCAAAAACACAAATGTTAACTCTTTTCAAACCTGTTTCTGGAGAGATATATATATATATATATATATATATATATATATATATATATAATAAAAAAAAAAAACATACACTGCTGTGGAATAAATATAAATTAGACAGAAATATTGTGATATAAATGGCAGTATTGCTCTGCTCTCTCCTGCTCGATCAAGGTGGCTTGAACTATTTTGTCTTCCAGCATAAGGATGGTAAATTGAACCATTGATGGTGGAGAAAAAGCAGACACAGAAGAGCACTCATTCTTTGTGTCTTTATTATTTTACCCTCCTACTCCTCGACCTCATCATCTCCACATTGCTGCCAACTTCTCCAAAAAAAAAAGACAGGAGAGGACTTGAAAATGATGGCGATGACATAATGTAGATGCTCCACTCAAAGAACTGAGGACAGTTAAACATCTCCAGATTTTCACTTTGGAGATAGAAAGCTGCTTTCCCCGCTGCTGGCCTCACATCTTCATCCCCTATCTTAATCTTTTTCACGCTCTCTTTCTTTTTCTGTCTTCCCCGCCATAACATCCCCCTGTTTCTGTCACTCCGCTTCAGAACCCTCTGCAACACACACGTTAGTGCACGTACACATACGCACACTGATCCCAAGTCAATTTCATGGGACATATTTGCTGTCAGAGCCAATCAAGGCCGTTTTGATGGGCCTGTGGGCCGTATGGCTATTAAACGGTGGTCAGAGTGGAGTTTTGTGGGGTCTCAGTGTGTCTGTGTGTGTGTGTGGCAAAACAGCTGCACATGTTGAGGAAAAGTTGAGACAAAGTTGGGAGGGAAAAAGGGAGGATCAGATGAAGGAGAAGAGAAGTTGGGTGTGGGAGAAATGGGAGAGAGGGAGGAAAGCAGAGGGAGACGGACAAAAGATGGAAATAAATATTAGTTAATAGGAGCAGAAAGGAGAGTGGCTAGGAGTGGCGGATACTAGTTGTGAAACAGGACGCAATAAATTTCGCTGAACTCTTCATCTGGCTGGAGTTATTGTATTATTAGGCAGCCAACTTTTAAAATAAAGAATTGTATTTTCATCCATAGTGGAAGAACATTTTAAAATTGACATGTGCATTTATGTGGCACTATACTTCTGGTTATGGATGAAGTTGTATGTGAGGTATTTAATTACAGAAAAGTATATTTCTTTATTTAAAAATATTAAAATGTATATAAAAACCAACAAAACGTTTTGATCCAAAAGCTTTTGTGCAGTTTATGGTGCATGCACCAAAAAAGCACAGATGCTCACAAGAAGCCTTGCATGAAAAATATCAAGAGTATTTCACTCCTACACAGTTTATGATCTATGATATGACTTAGAACAAAAACATGCAAAAATCCTTATTTCATTTTTATGATTGATTTCCACACTAAAACACTAAAAACTCAAGGTCTTAAAACTTCTTTTCCATCCTGAGAAATGTGTCCGAGCCTGAGACACAAGAGACACGTTGGAACCAGAACCGATCCGCGGAGGAAGAAACACTTGCACCAAAGGACTCCCACATGGCTCTGATGACTGCTGCCTCCACGGTGATCATTGCTGAAGAATGACCTGATATTACTGGACACACACACACGCACAGAAACATGTGCACGGTCAACATGCACGCGCACAGCTGCACACACCCTTCAGTGTTTGAAAGAGAGTGAGATATAAATCACACTTTCGGCCAGATGCAGTGATAAAAAGTGAGTGTGTGTGTGTGTGTGTGTGTGTGAGAGAGAGTGTGTGAGAGAGAAACAAAGGCAGAGTGTGTGTACATATTATGTGTGTGTGTGTTGTGGTCAGTGTTTGCGGTCAGGCGCAGTAGAAAGTCTATTTAACACGAGGCATTAACTCTGCTAATCACACCCAGATGACCCAGAAGCAATCACAGCTACGTTGTGTGCGTCGTGTGTGTACGCGTTGTTTGTGCGAGTGAGAGCGGTGAGCGTATCATGACCAACTTCCACGAAACAGAATATAAAGTTCTTCCAAAAAAGCCCATGTTGAGGTCTTAGCATTCCCGACAGAAGCCCCAAATTAGCTTACGTGCGTGCACACGCCCGTGTGTGTGTGTGGTGTGTGTGTGTGTTTCTGTGCAAGTGTGTCAACGTTAGTGTTTGTGGTGCCCCACATCCTGTAAACAACAAGAG